TCCATGATCCACCTTGAGTTGGTTTTTGTGTATGGAGTGAGGTGTGGGTCTTGCTTGAGTCTTTTGCAGATATTTTTCCAGGCATGTTAGTTCTTTAAACTCATCTCAGAGGACAAACCCTTACATTTGTATAGTAGCTAATGTACATATTGTTAGGTGCTATTGAGTCAGTTCTGGCTCATAATGACCCCATGTCATTGCTGGGCCCTGCATCATCCTCACTGTTTGCTATACTTGAACCTATCATTGCAGCCACCTTATCATCCCATTTCATGAAGGATCTTCTTTATTTTACCAAATACGGTGTTATTCTCTTGAGACTGATCCCTCCTGATGATTGGTCCAAAAGTTAGTAAAATGAATCCTTTCCATCCTTGCTTCTTAGGAGCATTTTAGCTGGCTTTTTCCCAAGACAGATTTGTTCTTTTCATAGTCCATGATATATTTTACGTTCTTCACTGGTGCCATTAATTCAAAGGCGTCAATTTTTCTGTCTCCCTTACTTAGTGCCCAGCTCTCATTTTGAGGCAGTTGAAAAATACAAAGGATCAGGCACATCTTAGTCTTTAAAGTGCCATCTTTGCTTTTTACCACTGAGCGAAACGCTGCTGAAACTGTAGGCTCAGTATTAAGTTGCTACCCAGAAGATTATGGTTCAGACTTGCTGCCGTGGAAGAAAGATGAGGCAGTCTGTTCATTAAACACAGCCTCAGAAATCCTATGGGGCAGTTAGTTATGTTCTGTCTTATAGGGTCAGTTTGAGCTACTCAGTAGCGTGACTTTTTTGTAGCCTATTTGCCCTTAGTGATTAATTAATTGTTTAATTTCCTGACGACTACTACTTCCATAGACATTGATTGTGGATTCAAGTAAAATGAAATCCTTGAGTCTGAAACACAGAGCAAAAATAATCAAAGATGTAAAGAAACTGACAAAGGACTAATGAACACCACAGATTTCAGTTTCACTACCCAGAGACCAGAAGAACTGGATGACACTGGCTGCTTCTGTTGACCACTCTAAAGGAATGATAGTAGCGATCCTGGACAGAGAAGGAAAAAATTGTGGAACAAAACTCAAAATCATTAAAGTGATTGTGTTTGTAGTCTAAAGAGATTGCTTAAACTCTCAAGAGTATAGCCTTTAAGAATCCTTTGAGACTTTCAGGCAGACAGTAAACAAGCTTATAATAAGGTAAATACCTGGGAGATACTCACTCCTTAGACCAATCAATAGCTTAAGGCAGGGAAATAGTGTGAAGAGTACTATTACAATGTGGGGATTACAAATAATATCATAAAACAAAATCTAGATGAATTATTTGAAATAAAAAAACCAATTTGCAGGGAGCTCTGGTGGCCTAGTGGCAAGAAGCTGCACTGCAATCACAGAGATATGCGGTTCAAATCCACCAGATGCTCTGCTGGAGAAAGAGGAATAATCTCCTTCTGTACCGGTCAGATCCGATTTGACGGTACACAAACAAAAAATAATTAAAACAAACAAACAAAAAACCCACAAAACAAAACAAAAAAACCAATTTGCTTGATAACTGTCTCAAATGGCATTTAAAAGTAAAAAGAATTAAAAAAGTAAAAAGATATCCATAATAACTTGAATCTTTTCTTTGTTTATTAAGATTGTTCCTGTTGGTCCAGTTGTAAGGATTTTTGTTTTTCTTTGAGTTGTAATTCATTCTCGAGCTTGGAATTTTCCCTTTGTGCAAGCAAGGTTGTCTCATCTACATATTACAGGTTGTTATTGAATCTTCCTCCAATCCTAATGCTTTGCTGTTGGTTTGTTGTTGTTTAAGATTGAAGTTTTCGATTCTTTTTTTAAAAAAAATAAATTTCTTTTCATGTAACATCAGAGAGATGGCAGAAGAGAGTAAGAACCTCAGACATATGGCTTAACACAGTGTCTGTAGCATTGGGCTCAAGTATGTCAAATTAGGAAGATGGCACAAGATAGGGTTCAAATCTCTATTCATAGGGTGGGTCTCTGTGAGTCATATTCGACTAGAAGGCACTTAACAACAACAGAGGAATTTTGGAAGAAAAGGATAGTGATCTACTTCTGAAAATTAGCCATGAAAATCATATGAAACACATTTTTATTCTTAGTACTAAATATGTTGGAACTGATCTGATGACAGCTGGTTTGGATTTTTAACATATGTGTAAAGTAGTTTTAAATTTTCTCATATTGACTAATTTTCTGTTGATTTATGGCATTTTATAAATCTTTTCTGGGCCATGTTGATTTTGAGTATTCTAGGCCCTGATTCTGGACAAGAAATCTTAGATGTGTTTGGGTAAGCACTTGACTACTGCAAACTAGAAGATTGTTTGAACTAGCTGCAGGCACCTTGGAAGAAAGGCCTGGATAGCTGCTTCCCATGGCTACCTCCCTTGAGGACAGTTCTTTTCTGCAATACATCGACTCTAAAAAAATTGGAATTGACTTCATGGAAACTGGGTGTTGCTCTTCAGGTTTTAAATCAGATCTTTTCTGACCTCAGACATAGGCTAGGCTCAAGACTTCATTATCTTTTCAGAGGCCAACTTTCTATGACCTAATGGCTTTGTCACTTTGTCATTCTGAAGACTAAGGTACGCTTGATACAGGCCATGGTCTTTGCAATCACTTGTTATGCATCAGAGAGTTGGACAGTGATTAGGGAGGATAGAAGGAGCATTAATGCCTTTGAACTGTGGTGATGGAGAAGAGTATTGAGTGTACCATGGACTGCTAAGAAAACAATCAGGTTCATCCTGGAGAAGGTTAAACTGGGCTGCTCCTTGGAGGCAAGGATTCTGAGGCTTCGTCTGACATACTTTGGACATGTTGCAAGGAGGGACCAGTCCTTGGAGAAGGGACATCATGCTTGGGAGGGTGGAGGGACAGTGCAGGAGGGGAAGACCTTCTGTGAAGTGGGTTGATTCAGTGACTGGGGTAATTGCAGTGCGGATGTCTGAGACAGTGAGATTGGGACAGGGCAGAGCAAGGGTTAGTGCTTTTGTACATAGGGTCGCTATGAGTCGCAAGCAACTCAATGGCACATAACAACAACAATGGCTTTGGAAGCTTTCAGTCATGAACTTAGAATTTTTAAACTCACAGTGAGCATATTTGATTTTTTTATTGAGTTTTTCTGCACAATGTTTGCCTTACTACCAACACAGAAGAATCTTGCTTTTTCTTCTATTAAAATGACTGGCTAAGGCAAAGGAAAATAGTGGTCTGGATATATTTCTCCTAAGTAAAGCAGGCAAATTCACAAGTACTAATTTCTGGAATCAGTACTCAGGTTTAGGTTTAGACTTAAGGCTAATTTTATATGTTCATGTAACTTCCAAATAACCAGTTGTTACTATTATATCTTACTAATTTGAACTTCTTTCTCTAATTAGTTTACACATGTTAGCTCAATGAGCACAAACACATTTTTTCTTTTTGAAGGAAGTAAGATATTTATAAGAATTAATCAGAGACAATAAAAAAAAAGAAAAACAAAAGGTCTTGGGATATGTTCATATTGATTTTATATCAAGTTTTTAAAATTAATCTTATGTCAGTACTTATATATTTGTTTTCATTTCAGCTTTGGCTAGATCAGAGTCTAAGAGAGATGGAGGTTTTAAAAATAATTGGAGCTTTGATCATGAAGAAGAAAGTGAAGGAGATACAGATAAAGAGTAAGGTTTTTTTTCCCCCCTCAGATATTTTGTAAGAATGCAAGTTTTTATTAGAAAAATTTATATCCCATGAAAATAAAGAGTATGGTTTTCATTACACATTGAATTCTTTTATAGAAACATTAGGAAAGTAAAAACAGTTCTTCCTTATGAGTAAGTAATTTTGTTGTCTTATTTCTCTATTTAAGTATGTGCATGTAATACATGGAACTTTGTAAGTAAAAATTAGCCATACTCCGGGAAAATGTTAATTACAGAGAATTAAAATTTTTGGTATAAATGACCTTTTTTTTCAGGCATTGACCTGAAAAGCCACTAATTTTTTATAAATCCATGGATCCAGATAGAGGACCTTGAGTTTTATTTGGAAATTTAAGTCCTTCGGTACCTTTCTTATCTATCTAAACCTTCCCTAATTACATAAATACCCAAGATAGGAGAAACAGTAAAATTATAAACATATTTCACCCAGATAGAAGTTAAGAAGTTTTCAGTATGCTTCATTAGTATATTTGGATATATTATTAATATATTTGGATTGACTGCTGTTCAAATTTTTAAATTGTCCTTTTAACACAATCTTTGGTATGATGGACATCTGCATTATAAATTCCATGTTACTGATTTCTTAGCTTATTAATTTGGTTTTCCACTGGTCAGAAGAACCACAAATTTAGAGACACAAATATTTTAGATATTTTAAATGAATTTTACACAGAAGTAATTCAGAATATATTGACTAAATATTGTAGGTGCTTCACTTCAATCTGCGCAATCACTCCATTCGTGATTACTGCAATTTTATGTTCCTTCATTTATGAGATGCTGACAGAAGTTTGCTGATCCCTAAATTCATTGAGCATAAAAAGAGAAAACTTTTCTGAATTTAATGTATAAGTTTTAATTTTTACTTAGGTTCCCCTCCCCCTCTTATTTTCTACGTAGTGGGACAAAGGAGATCTTTGACTGTTAAGTTTCTTACTTAAAACCTGTATTTTTTTTTTTTTTTTAAAAATTTTATTATTTGTGTGTACCGTCAAATCAGATCTGACTGGTACAGGAGGAGATTGTCCCTCCTTTCCCGGCAGAGCATCTGGTGGATTCAAACTGTGCACCTCTGGGATTGTAGTGCAGCTTCTTGGCCACTCACTAGGCCACCAGAGCTCCCCTAAAACCAGTATTTTAAGGATACCTTTAAAAATTTTTTATAATGGAACAGTTTTTTTTTTAAGGAGGATACATTTAGTAATTTTGAAATACTGAGATTAAGTTGAACAGAGAAACATTTTTGTGAAAGTGGAAGAAAATAATTTTTAGCATTAAAAAAGTTGGAATTTTTATATCTAGTAATAAAGCAGTTTGTATTTTTATTATGAATAGCTAGTATTTTACTATCAATAACTTCAGAGTTATCTTCAGAAGGAAGTATTTGACTTTCTGTGCCAGAAGATATACTGTGGTTCTCTTAAGGTGTTTGCAGTCTTGTACATTTTGTTTGCAAAGTGTATTCTTAGAATTGGCTCCTCAGGGTCTCCAACTCTTTGAATGTTTATATTTACTAGTCTGATGTTTAAGGAAGGTCTCCTAGCACAGTCCTTGGTAGTTGCTAAATAACCCAAAAGCCACAACTCTCTGGTTCGAATCCATCAGTGGGAGAACGATGTGCAGTATCCTCCTGTGCTATTTATAGCCCCAGAAAAATCACTGTAGGATCAGCTTTTAGTTGGTTCTGATTCTTTGGTAATGAATTTTGCAGTTTTCACTCTGATCTTTTGAAATCTCAGGCCAGTGATTCTCAGCGCAATTTCCAAGATTGAGTGAAGGTAAACAGCAGTACCTTCAGAATTAGTCTTGTCATTATTGAAGGTTTTCAGTCTTTTATTTCTTTCTGCCTCCCCTAATTATCAATCTTTGCAAAAGGAGAAAAGCAAATAAACATACATAAAATTCAGTGTGTGTGTGTGTTTGTGTATGTGTATTTATTTAAAGCAGTAGTTGGCAGATATGGACCATGAGGCAAATCTGTTGCCACTTGTATTAATAAAATTAGGAACACATCCACATATATTTTCTGTGATTGCTTTCACATTACAGTCGCAGAGTTGATTCATTGTTAGAACATTTGGCCTGCAAAGGTTTTGTTATTTACCATATGACCCTTTAAAGAAGTAAAAACTTTAAAGCCTGATCCTTAAATTCATTGAGCATAAAAAAGAAAAACTTTCTGAATTTAATATGTGAGTTGTAATTTTTACTTAAGGTTTTCCCCCCTTATTTTCTATGTAGTGGGGCAAATCTACTCAGTATAGAAGAAGATGAGGATTCTGAAACCTCTAAAGGAAAAAAGGCAAGTGGTGTTTTTTTCCCCCCCCTGGAAAAAAGTTAAATTATAATTCAGAAGCTCTCAAAAAAGGATTTGCTTGACATTTTTAAATTGTAAGCCCAATATCTGCTTCCATATTGCAGGGGAAATCAGTGTCCCCAATTTCTTGCCTCTCCTTCCAGAGAGATTTTATTCATTAAAAAAATATGTTTCAGCACTTCCCTTTAGACAGTACCATGCTATACATGATTTATGGTTCTTTCATTTTGTTACTTAACATATTTATGGTACCTTTCTGTGATAGATTGGTAAAACCACCTTCATTCTTTCATTGGATGCATAGTATTTCATTGTTATGTCCTAATCAGCACTACCATGCTAGAGGATATTTATGAGGTTTCCAACATTTTTTGTCCTCTCTTGTAATGTTGAATAAATTAACCTTCTGTTTACGTTATTTTTCACGTAGGTGGGCATATTGATAGGCTGTATTGCTAGAGACAGTTGCGTTAGAGGAAAGTACATATCTAATTATTGTCTTCTGGTTACACTTTATCAATTATATATGAGAATTCTTCTGATTTCAGTTTCTTCTTAGCATTTTCAACCTTCATATCTTTATGAATAAAAGTTATTTCAGTGTAATCTTAATTTGTACTTTCTTCATACGTGTAGCCATTTATATTTTATAATTCATATTCTTTCCCCATTTTGTATTTGATCTTTGGACTATCTTTGACTCATAGAAAGTCTTTTATTGATTCTAAAATCTGTTTTTCCAGAAACATTTGACATCTCTGGAAACTGGTCCTGTCTTACATTGATGTCATTAAATGGCTTGTCTTTTTAAATTTTTATTGATATGACAATAAAAATGTGGTGCATGATAGGGTGGTGCACGGTATAATGGCTTCTTAGATTTGATAAAAGAATATTTTTAGAAACTAATCTTTTGCATGTGTTCATGGTTTTCATGAGCTTTTTATCTTTGTAGTAATTGCCTTGGGGTTATTTTTTTTTAACCCAAAAATGGAAAATAAGGTATTTTCTTTTGAATTGTCAAATGCAAGTTATTTTTTTTTTCTGTTTGAATTTTGGGCTGATTTCCTTGTCTTCTAATGGTAATTTATATTTATTTGCTGTAGCGTAATTAAGTGTTGCATGGTATAAGAAGTTGCAAGATAGATAGTCTGTGCCTGTGTATTTTATAGCCTTTGGAAACTTTCTGGAGGGTGAACCCATTATAAGGCAGTCCCAACTAAATAGCAGTGAGTTGAGTCAGATTTGTTTTGTCACCTAATGGATGGAAAATTTTTTTATCATATAAAATCTGTAGAACTTAATATTTATTATTTTCTTGAGTGAACCTCAGACTTTTTGAGCAAATATATGCTTTATTACACATCTTTCATGATTAGAGAGAGCTCTGGTGGTATTGTGGTAAGAATTTACACTTCAATCCCAAAGGCACTTAGTTCAATCCATCAGCTGCTCTGCTGCAAAAGGTTGGGCAATCTCCTCCCTTGCAATTACTGCCTCTGAAAAACAGCTGGAGGGTCAGCTATGGGTTGATTCTGACTTGATGGTACACAACAACAATGAATGTAACGATTGATGTTTTTAAAATAATATGACAGTAATATGTATTCAGTGATCTCTAAAATAATGAGAATCCTATTATAGTAATATTGTCACTTACAGTGTCATCACTTATTTTTAAGATACATGAAGCATATCTATTTTAATAGTTGGAAGTTTTCTCCTTTGTCTTTGAATTCATACTCTTAATTCACCTTTGACATTAGGTCTTCTATAATTTTTTTAATAGTGTATTTTTGTGATTAAAAAATCATTTCATTAACCTGTCCTGTTTTATGTAATAAAAATATACATATTCAGTAAAGCTTAAATTAAAAATTCTTATCACTAAAAGTTCTATTTTTTAATTGATCTTAGAAACATTGCAGCAAGACGCTGCACTGCAATCCCAGAGGTACACGGTTCAAAGCCACCAGATGCTCTGCTGGAAAAGGAGGAGGCAATCTCCTCCTGTACCAGTCAGATCTGATTTGACGGTACACGTAAAAATAATACAAGTTTTTTTTAAAAAAAGAAACATTGAAGATATTTTCAGTTGCTAAACATAATATTGGAAATTGGCTCTTAAATTGTTATTTATCTAGTTCATATAGCTTAGAATAATGATTATTAGTAAAATACAACTTTCAGCTGCAGTTTTCTTTTCAAACACTTTTTTTAGAAGTAAGTACTAAGATTATCAATAAGGAAAGGAAATAGATATGCAAAGAATTAGATTCTTTTTCTTTTTAAATCTCAAAAAAATCACATTTATAAGCAAAACATATCAGAAATATTTTAGTTCTTTTTAATTTTAAGTACATTATCAGTAAATTGGTTGTTTTTTTTTTTTTTGGGAAATGTTATCTAAGTGCATTTTCTTTACAATAGTAGAGCACTCCCATGCTTTGGACTTGTTGTCAGGAGGTGTCAGTTCTTGGGAAAAGTGGAAAGTCAGAAAAAGAGAGAAAGATCTCCAACCAGATGGGTTGATTCCATCAATATACCGGTGGGCTGTAGCGTATCTGAGCTTCTAAGGCTGGCACAGGGTAGAACAAAGTTTCGACATAACTCAATAGCACCTATCAGCAATAGCATATATCTCCCTCAAGTCTGTGGGAAATAGCTAACTTGTTTGGCAAAGCCAATCCATGAAATCAGGTTAGTTCAGTCTTACTTTTTATCTGTACAAATCTGCTTTCATTTTAAATAAACACATACATTTTCACCTTTAATAAACACATTTTACTTCAGAATAGATAAATATATCCTTAATCTTGATTTTTAACTTCTTTGTTGCCTGAGTGTAATAGGGCCAGCAGTTTCAACCTCTTTTTTTTGGTCTTTTTCACTGATTTTCTTGAACACTTATTAGTGTTTCTCATGATAATACTTGAGGTTAAAAAAATACAAAATCAGTAAATGCAATTTTCTTCACTCTTGCCCCTCTCACTTTGCAATAGCTGATTTTAAAAAAAATCCTTTTACACTACTTTTCACTTTTGGCAGAAATATATATAAAGCAGGGAGTGATGCCAAGCCTTTCCAGTATTTTATGTGTTAAAAGAATCTTCTAGATATCAGACATCAGTTTTGGACTTTTCAAAGGCATTGATTGTATAAATCACAGCAATTTATGGTTAACATAGAGTAGATTGGGATTCCCAGAACGCTTGATTGTGCACATGTGAAACCTAGATCAAAACACTGCAGTCCAAACAGAGCAAGGGAACTCGGCATGGTTCAGAATTAAGAAAGGAGTGTGTCAAGTGTGTATCCTTTCTCCATACATTTTCAGTCTATATGTGGAACAGATTATTTGAGAGTCTGGGCTTCATGAAGAAAAATGTGACATCTAGATTGGAGGAAATAGTCAGAACCCTTCAGATGAAACAACTTTGCTCACTGAAACTGATTAGGACTTGAATGAAGTGTTTACTGCAGAAGGACTGCTGCCTTCTATATGGATTGCATCTCAGCATCATGAAAACAAAAACCTCACCACTAACTGGGCCAATAGGCAACATTATCATGATGAAAAAAAGATTAATGTTCTTCACAATTTCATCTTGCTCGGTTCCTCTGTCAACAACTTTCGCAGCAGCAATCAGAAATCAAAAGACTAGTTGCATTGGGGAAATCTATTTAGGGACCTCTCTAGAGTGCTAATGTATAAGGATGTCAGTCTAGAGACTATGGTCCACCCGAATCAGGCCATGTTCTTATTTAAGAATAAGAAACAATAGCAGCAAGCAATTCTTGCTATGCACCTGAGAGCTGGATGACAGAAGAAGACTTGATGACTTTGGGCTATGGTTCTGAAGAAGAAGAGTATTGAACATACCATGGACTGCCAAGAGAACAAACAGGTCTGTCCTGGAGAGGGTGAAACCAATTTACTTTTTGGAGACAAGGATTTTGAAATTCTGTTTCACTCAGTTTGGACATATTGTCAGGATGGGCCAGTTCTTGGAGAAGGACATGCTTGGAAAAGATGGGCCAGTGAAGGAGAGGAAGACCCTGGATGAGATAGATTGACACAGTGACTGTGGCAATGAGTTAAGTGTGTCAATGACCGTGAGATTGGCTCACGATAGAGCACAGTTCTGGGCCATTGTTCATAGGATTTCTATGCGATGTTAATGTAGTCAAGTCCCTCGCATGTAACAAAAAGATAGCAGAAAGTAGGAAAAAGGTTATTGTGGTAGGAATGAGTTTGAAATTAATTTATTGATTTTTTTTTTTTTTTACAGAAGTATTTTTATCAGATCTATTTAGGAAACTGTGAAAATGGAGATTGTGGATTTAGAAGTTGATTTTTTTAAAGCTATCTACTCCTGTTTCTCCTATGGAAAGTCTTCATGTATTTGTGGTATTTATACTGTGACGTTTACAAGAGCCTGAATTCTATAAGACTGACTTATTTTCTATGATCTTTAAAGTTTTTGACTTTTGACAAAATATACAGTGTTACCATTTTTCTATTACTTGATTTAACAAATATCTGTGCTTGCATTTTCTGACAATTCCATGTTACACAGATTCTGGCTTTCATATGCCTTACTGTATATATTTTGAGTGGCTTTTGCATAATTTATAGGTCTAGTTAGGTCACTGGCTTAAATGAGAATAATCCCTTTTCTCCACCTAAAAATGAGTATGAAATAAGAGGACGTACTTATTTTAATTAAGTATTTTAACACTTCTCTACTTCTGCTACTTTTGCCTTTTTATCCTTTGGACTTTTAAGAATAAAGACAATTACATTTTCCCTTATCCATCTTTTGAATAATTTCTTCAGTTCTACCAATTCATTCATTTCTGTCTTCAGCTATGTATTTTTAATCCAATATAATTTTAATACATTTACTGAATGTTTATTCCTTTTGTTTAATTTTCATGACATGTTTCCACTTGTAGAAATTCTGTTAAATTTCAAATTTGTT